TTACAATACTGTATAAAATCCACGCATATTAATTTTCCTGTTGCAGATGACTAGCTACTAAAGTCAAAGCTGCATCTTCAGTATTCCTGTGCTCTTTATGAGCAAATTGCAAGGGATCCAGATGATCTGTAATTTAAGAAGATAAGCTGTTTAAGTGCTGTTGCACTTAGCCACTGGTGGGGTGGGTTCCACCAGTCGAAAGTCACTTAGTACTATAATTGACAATAATCTATAAAACGTTTTCTCTGCCATATACAAATATCAAGAAAGTATATTTTTTTCTGAAAAATGTATTGATACACATTAACCTACATTTTGATCCAAAAAAACATCTTTTGCACTTTGGAGGCATGCCATTCCTGTCGCTCAGTGAACACAATTGTATTGATCATTGCAAACTGAGCAGCTTAGTGTCCACTTAGTAGGCTTCATTAAACTGTAAAGTGAACCTCAGGAACTGTTCCTGGCCTGCACTGAGCTAGGGACCTTAGCATATAGCTTGTGCACCATCTTCACTATTCATCAGTTCACAAAATACACCATTCTTCTGAATTTACTCAAATATTCAAATAAGTTAGTTCATATAAATACTGATTGGCAGGCTTATACTGTAGTTATAATCATCAAAATCAATAGTATGTAACATGAAAATGTCAACAGCTACAGCATTAGTTCAGGCTAATTTGTGGTCCTCCTTTAAACCAGGAATGGACATTCCATATATGATATTGCAACAATACAGGGTTCATGTGGGCGCCCTTGCCACTGCCGCATCATGTCAGCCCCCCCACCGTCAGGGACTCAAACCCAGGCCTCCGGCGTCAGTCAACTGGGACCCAGCCTCTTGAGCCAAAGGGAATTCTCCCGTCAGCCCAGCAGCTGCGGTCCCTGCTATTCACAGGGAAGGGCGGTGACGTCACCGCTCTGGTGAGCCAGCTCTTGCAAGCAATGGAGGCCGTATGCGTTACGATATATTAGTCCAGCTTAGAACGGAAACTCTGCTTCATGAAAAGTCAGACTAGAAGGTATTCGTTTGATCACTCTAAACTCCCATAGCTCCCATTGAACCCAGTCTGAGGAAAAAGCAGACGTGGGTCTGTTTGCAGGACAGCCTTTGTGAAACCAGCTGTTGGCAGGTCAATAGTTCTGCAATGGTATTTTTTCTAACTGAGTTTTTCTGATTAGCTGTAAAGTCTGATAGCTGCACATTGAATATTAATATTATATTCAATATGGTTTTAGAAATGAAGTATATATCTCACTACATAACAGCTGCACTATCAGCTTGTATTCTGATCTAATCCGGTCACAGACACTAATCGGGGCTAGGCCTAGGAGTGGGGACTTGTTGGTAGATGGTGTTGGTGACCCACCAGTAGGCACATTTAAATTTGTACCAGGATTTCCAAGGCAGTTGTGACAGCAATTATAATTACTATGTTTATAAACACTTTGCAAATTGAACATACAAGAATTTTACCTTATAATGCTTCCATTTGTAACATTAAGCCTGATTTTTATTTAGCATATAGATATTATGGACATTTTAAGTATTTTAAAAAGTACAGATGATTAGTTTGGTTAAAATAATGTTAAGAAAGTAGAACAATGTTATTTGTTGTTAAAATCTTCCGACTTTTTCCTGATGTGAATCATTACAAATCATCACGTACATACAAAGAAAAGTTAAATTTGGTCCTGCAGCTCTAGGGTTAAAAAGAGGAGGGCACACCGCCTCACACACAGGCAGACCTGACGTATCCAGCGTAGTGCAGGACTGAGCTGTCTGCAACATCAATAACTTGCATCAAGGACTATCCGCACACGTTACTACCGGCTGGTTTACAGGCCGATGAAAGAGAAGGCTTATAACATTTTTTGCAGGGCAAACGCAGGTTGCCTGGGGTGAAAAGAAACGAACCGGATTTTATTGTTGTCTTTCCAAAGAGGGCGTTGCAGGAAAAACAAAAGGTGACACGTCCTTCATCAAAGTGATGATTTCACATTAGCAGTCAGACAAGGACGATTAAACATGTTAAAACCTCAACCCGATTTAAGAAGGTGGGTGTTTCTTAAAAAGTAAAGATCGAGGGAGATGCTTGTGAATTCGCCCTACAAACACAAACAAATGCTTTAGATCCGATCTAATGGGAAAATGCTTGGTCTCGGGTCAAGCTGCTGCAGGTGGATGGCTGACCTGACAGTGTATATTTTGTTTCCGTCCCCCGCTCCTGCGGCGCTGCAATGCTGTGAGTCTGTGATGGTAAAGAAGGAGCCCGGTAGCGATCAGTGAACACGGCTGTTCGAGTCATGCTTCCTGGGGTCGGGGTGTTTGGGACCAGCCTGACTGCCCGGGTGATCATCCCCCTCCTCAAAAACGAAGGCTTCGCAGTCAAAGCTCTTTGGGGACGCACGCAGGAAGAAGCCGAGGAGCTAGCCAAGGAAATGAATGTGCCGTTTTATACTAACAGGATAGACGATGTCTTGCTGCATCAGGACGTGGATTTGGTGTGCATTAATCTACCTCCTCCTCTAACTAGACAGATCGCTGTCAAAACGTTGGGTAAGTTAAGAAAATAAATTATTTTATAATGAATTCTCGCATTTGTAGGCTACTCTGATTAATAATATGCAATATTGAGAGTTGCGAAATCTACTTGTCTCTGCTTATATAGTTACGCACTTTACTTGAATGAAGTTGATATTTTTTAGAAGAATGACACTATTTCTTGAAGATAAACCTTAAAAAATGTACTGCAATTTAGAATGTCGTTCATTTCTGTATATACAGTATAGGCAGTTATATTTATATGGACACTAGAAGTCGAGAATTTCAATACAAATCAAGCATTCGTTGTTTGCATACGACCGGAATTAAGGTTGAAGGGGAGAGGAACGGGTTAGTCCTGATACTTGCACTGTAGGAACCAGCAGCAGTGTCACAAGGGAAAGCCGCGAGACTCCATGTGCTGCTGTGTCTTCTGACATTATTGGTTCTTATACAAAGACAGTACAGTTCAAAGTTGGCTGTGTAGTGAAACGAAACCCCACTTGGAATTTAACGTAGTGAATTAAATAAAACTACATTGCTAATCTTTTTATAAAGAGGCAACGATGACATTTGCTTTTTTTTCTTTGTGACCTGGAAAGGTGGTAAAATATACGATAGATGGTATTAAAACTGCTATGAAGTGTACTGTATATTTAAAGAGGAAGACTTCTTAACCTACTGGCTGTGTTTGTTAACTGTTTCCTAAACATGAAATGCACACTGCAATATTTGAAGTATTTTGCACATGAAAGAGAAATCGTCTTTGCATCATATTTTTCTCTGTGCTTGAAAGTCCCGTTGTGCTGGGGAGGATAGCAAATGTCTGCAACAGGGAATTGCTCTGGAAAACATTGGTCTTTACTATTCGCCACGTGTTTCCCCATGAAAATGTTGTTGGGACGACTTCACTTTCCTTCTACAAGCCAAATAAATAGGAGTCCTAATGAAAAGTACATTTTAATTGTTTAAGTTATTTAAAAAAAAATCCTGCTTGAGAAGGTAAGAAACCAGCTTGGGTTAAGGTAAACTAATGACCATATCAATCACTGTACATGGTAGCTGTACAAACTACCATGTTGTAATGTAGTTTTAATTTAGAAAGCACAATCCTGACACTTTTTGTGAGAGTTTTGTTCAGAGTATTCTAAAATGTTGTATTCAGAGCTGGGGAGGTGCCTTGACCTTGCAGAACAAAAGCAGGTTGAACAAAGTATTCGGACCAGTGGCAAGATAATGGGTTCATCCTTTGACTCAATAACATGTCTAACTGAACAACTTATTATTAATCTTGCACTTAAAATGTTATATGTCTCTCCTCTCATCCACTCTTTTTAGAATATACTCTACTACCTTCTGGAAGGAGGTACCAGGTCCCTTTTATAAAGATTAAGGGAGCATTTACTTCATTCATACCTAAAAGATTGATTGTTGTTGTTGTTGTTGTTGTTGTTGTTGTTGTCGTCATTACCAGCTAATTGTCTGTTTGAAATCTTATGATATTGGATTTAGGTCTGACAGCAATGTTGTTAAATATTGTATTATGGTATTGTAGAGTTGTTGTGTTGTATTATTGTCATATAAGGTATACGTTAGGAGCTCTTGATGTGAAAAATTCACTTAGGGACAATAAAGGTAAATTCAGTATTGAACAAAAGACTTGCAAAAGTAACCTTAACCAGCTAGTACTGCAAAATCTGCATGGGTAAAGTTTCTATGTGTTTTTAGTGTGTAGTGTACAGCAGTATCTGCTCACATTTTTCATTCGCATTAGTCTAAAGTCTGGACAGTAGAAAACAATTGCACTGATAAGTGTATTAATGTGTATAAATTAAAAGGGTGCTTGTAGGTCAATTGTAACTTTTAAACTGCCTATTATTTGTAGTAAATTCATGAGCGTTCTGTACCTGGTAATTGCCGTAGTGTGCAGTGTATCTTTATTGCACAATTCCCCTTGCTTGTGCTTGTTTCTGAAACAGTTCAGACATATAGAAAAGAAAACTATTGTTATGGAGGAGCTGGCTGATGGTATGAAAAGAGCGTCTTTTGGTTATTGTGAACAAGCCTGGAGTTTGATTGTGATATTGAATTAAATCAATCTGCTCCGTAGATTTTGGCTTAACATTGAATGTACAGTAGACTGACAAGTCCAAGAGTTTGGTGTCAGCAGACATAAAAAGCTAATTTGTCCTTTTT